CCGATGAATATCACGCTAAAGATATTTAATACTATTCGGCTGCTCGTGTCCGAATATATAGATTTTCTTTTGGAAGGATCTGCTCAGCTACATTCATGTTTCTTCAGCACCCACTCTGCTAACCTGTGATTGATATTTCAACAATGCTGAGCAGAATTTAATGTTTCTGTGAGAGAGTGAACATTTTGGCATTTGAGTTTTGCCGATATTTTCAAGAAGTTGGTTCCGTGATAAATCAGTCTTGGTGAGATTCGAAACCTAGTGCCATGGTTTAACGCTAAAATTCTAACACTTTGACCACAAGGTAACTTAAAAATACATAGGAAAATGTAAAATTCACATCAAAATTTAAAAATCAATTTGATATAATATCGATGAAAAACCCGAAATAATCCAAGATGTTACCGTTAAAAATGTTCGCGCAAGAAGTGCTCTTTTCTGAGTTAAAAATAACATTAGCACATTTCAGATGGAAATCAAAATCGAGTTCTAGGCATTGTGCAATAGCAGAACTGAGAGAGAATATATTAGCTATAAAATGACAGCTATAATTAAAGAAGTAGCAGTGTGGTTGAAGCAAATGGAAGCGTCATAATAAAGGAAAATAATTAAAGTCAGCACCAGAACTGATTAAAATAGACATAAATCAAGTGAAACAAAATTGGAAACGTAAAATTAAATAAAAGGATCAACAAAAGAACAACAAACTATTAAAAAGAAAGACAAACTTTAAAAGGATAATAATCCACGAAATAATAATGTGTTAAATGTGAAAGATCCACAACTCACATTGGTAAGAATATATGCGAATATATATGCTTAAAAAAGTATCACTAACAGTTAATTCGGCAAATAATTTCTCAAAGATAACAATTTAATTTTTATGATAAATTTTATGAAACGAAAAAAAAGTGAGAGATGACGATGGCATAGTAACAGACCTTCACTTAGATGCAGGACAATAATTTTACAGTGAATTCTATCAGCTATTTACCAAGTTTATACGAAAAAATAGAGCAATGTCAGCGTAACGTAAGGGTTATCGCCACGGAATGTGGATTGATGTGCCGAGTACAAATTTCTGTTTCGTTTATTTTTTTTTCCAGCAATGTATTTCGAAATGTATACATCTATCTATTCTCCCCACCCTGAGATTATTAACTGAGCAGACCGGATCCTTTAGCTTTGGTTGGTAACATGTCTAGGAGAAGTACACTTCTGATTTCAAAACAGATTGGGTATAGGGCTAGCACACCAACACCGTAAAATCTTATTTGCGCGAAAACAACAGCAACACATAGCGTAGGTGGTGTTATGGCCCTCTAAGACACAACAGAGTCTACAGTCATAACATACGAAGAATAAAGTTATTTCAAAATAGGAGTCTAATAAAGGAGATTGTGTTTTATAAGAATATATCAATGCTCAATTACTAACGACCATATACAAACACTTAAAAAAGGATTTAAAAATAGGCTACCAAACAGCCTAGATTAAAATCAGCCACACAAACAGTTTCTTAGGATGAATTAAAACGACTTGTAACTGTCCGTCTAGAGAAATTTAGTTAAGATAGAGAAACAATGAAAAACAGATTAGCAACCTATACTTTTATCTGGCACAGGAGTTAACCTTTGCCAATGAAGGTTTACTGAGGCGTGGGTACTGTGCTGTAAATGGAGCTATGTTTCGCCTCATTTTAGATTGGAGAAGTTGCTAAGCCCGAGGATTCCAAATTTGCGGCAGCACCTTCCCCATTGCACTAAAGAGGTTGGGCCAGTGTAATACCGATGCCAGCATGAAAGTGTTCGCAGGGGTTGGGCAGAAATCAAGTTTTGTCTTTGGCCCATATGGCGCTTCACACGTTAAAAGGAGCTTGTGTTACATTCAGCTTTGTTGAGGAAGCCGGCTTCAAGCATGTACAACAAATGCCAAACGGGTACCAAACGTGAAGATTAATTAAATGATTTACAAACATAAGGAAAAAAAAATATTAGTGCAAAGAGACGTGACACGAAGAGATATTTTCTACATGGACGAGCAGCCAGAATATGTGTTATTATTGAAGTGATCAAACGAAAGAATGAACGTAGACAGGCATCTCGGCATGTGTTACTATCCCGCCGTTGTAACCTTGCTTCTTTGTGCCTTTTCTCTCAATATATTAATGCAAATTATTCTGATGAACACTACATTATTCGGACTATTGTCCTCACCTTTGTCGCCATATTTATTACAACGTTTCGGCCGTTGTACGCTCCGGCCTTCTTCGGGTGGTTGGAATGTCGAACTGAACCCTTTATTTCGCTCACTGGGGTAGACTGTTCTATTTCCACGTGCCATGTTTTAATGGATGTCAGTTATCAGTCATGGCCTGTTAATTCCCTTCTCTAAGTTATCCAGTGTCTTAACCTGGTATTGAAATCACACTCTTTGGGCCTTGTCACTGGATTTAACCAACGACTTTATCCACAGTGCCATATGTCCTTGAGGATAGTGGATAAAGGCAGTGGAGAACTTGGGGAGGGGAATTAACAGGAGATAACTGATAGCTGACATCTGAAGAAGGCCGGAGTGTACAACGGCCGAAACATTGTATAATGGAGGTATAATGGATGCCAGCTCAGAATGAGAAATCAGAGATCCGTGTTCGAATTTCAATCAGGTTCGTTGCATTCATTTACGCGAAAATAACCAGGGTGTGGTGGAAAGTCAAGTGTTGGCAGCGACACTTTATTCCTATATAACATATAACAAAAATCATTCTTATTCTCAGAAATTTGTTAATGAAATGTTCACACGCAGAAAAAAATATAATCATAATTACAATACAAAATTCGTGTACATAAACGATAAGAGAAACCAGTCAATAATTCCGAACTTTTAATATCAATTCCGTGGAAGTCAGGGTCGTCGTCTAGAGGGAGATCATGTTGTTCAAAGCATTTTTGAAAGTTGCTGTCTTAGAAGTGATGGCCAGGATAAACAAGAACTACCTCCTCCTTCTGAGGCTATATTCGAAGCCTTTCTCGTGTCCGAGGTAGTATTAAATAGTTTTCTGTATTTGAAGATGTCTAAAGTGTTTCTAAAAATACACTGATTTTCTTTTATATTGGAAAATTTTAAATTATAACTCGTTTTCAGTTTTCCGGCACGCCACACGCACACACGTGCACGCAATATAGCATCATCATCATCATCATCGTCGTCGTCGTCGTCGTCGTCGTTGTCGTTGTCTTCATCATCATCATCATCATCATCATCATCAAGTCCTATAACCAAAAGTTATCATAGAGTTGCTCCGAAGCTAAACACCTGAACAGTTCATTCTACATGGATTGTATGTCATTGGTTATTGTTCTGAAAATCTAGTTTTATATTCCTTTTTTGTACTTATTAACATCTAAAAAAACTGACATCATACGGCCATTAGATTCTGAGAATTGGATAAAAATATTCAAAATTGATCAGTGTACGATTACTTTCTTCGTTGACTATATACAGCTATTGAGCGCTAAGCCATAAATATAGACTGCCTTAAAACTATTTATTCATATATATATATATATATATATATATATATATATATATATATATATATATATATATATATATATATATATATAACTTCAAAATTGTCCAAATCGTGTAACAGCAAAATGTTGAATTGTTAGTTTAAGTTTGAACCGTTGTATCATAGCAATGGTTAAAGTTATCTTGCACGAATTCTCCGTGGTTCTTATAACAATATTGGACTCTATTTGAACAGTAATAATGTATTTAGCTCTAAGTCGAAATGATGATCACTCTTGCTGTTGTGATATCCTGATCCAGTTTTTCTCTCTATTGTCCCCTCTTTTTTTAAACTTATTCACCGTTCTCTTGATTGTTCTTGAATAGAAATTGAATATGGAAGCCAGAAATGAATGTTGGCATCATTGCTGAAGGCTTTAGTAATCTTTTTCCTCTCAACATTGCTCAGTTGGAAAGCCATAGTGCGGGTGACAAATCGATTTTTATCTGTTCTTTTTCTATCTGAATAAGTCGGAGGGTTTTTCAGTGATTCTTACGACAAATGGTATCAAGATTGCTAAATGCCTTATCTGAAAATCTGTAAAAAAGAAAACTGAATTTTTTAGATATTAAACATGGGATGGACAGTTATCCTGATTTGGACAATTTTGCTATTACATGCGATATACACAAAACATTTGTGACTCTTTATTGGAATTAATGATTATCTTCAAATTCTCATTTTCAGTCGTGGATGCAAGTATAATTCTACAAAATAATTAATTATTTAAGCTTGTAATCTGCTAGCTTCAAATTTCAGTAATATAATATTTCAAAACTACAACTGAGACAGTAGTTGGTCATAAATTGACATAAAAATATCCTGAGGTGGATTCTAGCATTCAGACTAGTAAGTAGAACATTCACTTGAACTTTAAGTTAATTTAATGAGATTATCAGGATCTACTTTGAGTGAGACTTTTTGTCAGCTGGTACGAGTAGTCTTAACAGGAAATCTTGTTTTATGGATAAAATAAAAGTACAAAAGCAACTGTGACAGACGTTCTAATCAATAAAGAGTAAAATTCCTAGTTTTGTTGTTTATTAATGACGAATAATTAGTCATAAATATTTTAAAAAATAATAAAAAATATGCGAAAACTTGTCATATTCTTACTTTGCGTCTAGATTTAACGAATAAGTAGCACTCAAAATAGATTATCCTTATCTTTAGATGACAGCGCAAAATTCTGTTTCAACATCTGGTAACATTACTTTCATTGATGAAAACATTGGACATGGCTAGCTAATGTAATATTCTTCTTCGCCTCTTTCTTCTTCTTCTTCTTCTTCTCTGGTTTGCAGACATCCTCGAGAATCATTTTTGATTCATGATCACTCAAGTGAATAAAATGTAACGAACCCGATTAAAATTCGAACTCGGCAATCTCAAGCGTTTATCCATTACATCACACGCATATTCAAAATTACGGCACCTGTTATTCCCAGACAGTCACTCATCTAGTTACTGACTAGGCCCGACGTTGCTTAACTTCAGTGATTGAACAAGAACCGGTATTTCAACGTGATATAGCCGTAAAAAGAAAAAAAAATTAGCATATATTAATATAACACGGTGCGACAATGGAGAAGAACATTTATTTCACTCTTCATTGTGAAGAAGGACATTTACACTTGCCAAAATACTGGCCACTGACACCAGCAGAATATGCATAATGACTACTTTCATAATAATGTGTTGGCCCTCGATGTTACCTTCCACGAAGAAGTAACTCTTACCTATCAATCATAGACTGGAGAAAATTACTAGTGAACTAGTATCAGAATATAATTTCTGGTGGTATACTGACCCGCAAAGAGATTAAATGATGGAAGACAACAACAATCAAAACGGAGACTTGAGTAAAAATATTGCCAAGTTTATTTTCGTTAAAGAAATTAATGCATCAACAAAAATAAGGTTACAGTGCCCTCTGCATTTTCGTGTTGAGGATGAGAACGTTGTCCTGAAAAGGACAGTTTTGTAGCCGCTGAAGAGCGTTGTTCTAAAACGTGTTGTTCTGAAAAAGACAGTTTGTTGCCTATCGTTGCTACTGGCGAGGATCGCTGGAGCAGCATGAGTTGGCGAATGCTGGAGTTCGGCCGATGACGAGCTGGAGCTGCAGATGTTGATGGCTGAAAATGCTACACATTGATCCAAGTCATCTGGGCCGCGGAAGGTGTATGTTTAATGCATAAAAAACGCAATCGTGTTACACAGGCTAAAGTGGGGAGTGGGGAGAATTTGGTCGTCTCTGATTATCCTAGACCTAGCTAATCTGATTTGTGACCTATTCATTCGTGTGCTTTTTATGCTTTCAGGCCTTTTTATACCCTGGATCAACGATAGCTGGTTAAGCTTTTCCTTCTGGTTGTTTTGTTTTTTTAAGTTGGATCGCCAACAGGATACGACAATATTAACAACAGACAGCTTTTTAGAAGAACACATACCATAACTGCTCAATGGAACTAAAAGCTAGGTCTGTAGCAAGACAGGGTGCATAATCTCATCAGAAGCTATCACTGCCACCAGAAAAAGGCTGTTGTTGTGAAAACGTATATCTTGCTAAGGTTATATCTTCTCCATGAATGAAAGTACCCAATACTTCTAAAGAGTCTTCTTGTTTGATGCTCTCCGACAGTGAATCTGGGTGCCATCGCTTTGCATATATTATACCTCCCACGTTCGCATCTTTTCATCTAACTCACGAAAATAAAATATATTTGGCCAAGAGAACATTTTCCCATGATGCTGGCTTACATATTGAAGATGGTCTCATCATTGCTTAATATGAGTACAACAAGGGTCGATGTAATGTGCTCTGTCATATGACTTCTTTCGCAGATTAAATCTATCGGATAATCAATTCATATATACGATCTGTCGCTTAATATGCTGTAAAAATGTTCGGCTCCTTGTACCATTCCAGTACGTACCTGTCTCCTCCTTCTATTCTCTACTTTTTCAAATGCTAGACTGAACTTTTGTACTTTTTTTTGTACTTTTGTCATACATGGGCAAAGTCTATCCAATCTTCATTTTCCAGACATGATAGAGTCCAAAAGCGAATCCGTTTCGGTGTGACTGACGAATATTTTCTATCCTACAATCTCTTTCTCCCAGTCGAAAAGTCGCAAGGCTCTCATTGCTCTATCGCTATTTCCATGGAAAGTGTTCAGATAGACTACATTCATTAGTTCCACTAGTTATCATCATCACGGCTAAGACCAGCCGTGACACGCACATTGAAGAGAACCACTCATTACCTTCGTATTTCATTGGTCAGCTGCTTCCCACGAACCACCGCTTTGCGCAAACGATTCTCAAGAGGACGCTTTCTCGATCAATACACTCTCAACCAGTTCAAGTCTAGGGTTAACTGTTATATTCTCCAAACATCCTCATAAACTGTAACCTCTACCTCGAGTGGCTCTTGGGCTTTGAACATCATTGTAAAAGAAGTACTGCGACAGACTTTCTGTTGGCTTTCTTGAAAAAAAATACCCGTTCATTTCTCGCATCGCTAAGTATTGGTTGCTCGGGATTTAATGAAACTTCCAATTCAGACCAGTTCTGGTAGATGATCAGCTCAAACGACAGCGAGAACTCCACCATTCTATAACTGTGACCATCATCATATCTGCATTAAGCACTTGATATCCACTTTCCGGTTTATATACTTCTGAACCTGCCATCCCAAATTGTTTCGATACAGTACCTACCAAACTTGTACCGATTTTCTGCCTTATCAATATTAATATACTCAGTACAATGTTGTTGTTAATAATGACTTCAATCATTGTGCAAATATTATTTGCTACTTTAACGCTATCATGATCTGCGTAGGCTAATATTTACATTTTCTTTTTGATAAAACACAGCAACTGGTGAATAATTTTAAGTAATTTTGTTTGTTAATTGCTAACAGCTGACACCAGCAAGTATTGCCTATTGTATTTCTTACGACACATATTCAAAAATGACCCAATGAACAGTGGTAGATATCATAATGTGCGATTGAAGGAATTTGTTAAGAACATCTTGATTTTAAATCCTTCGGCCTTACTGGACTTTAGTACCGAAAGTAATTCAAACATCTAACAGCCGCACTGTAATTAATTCAACCATGGAGCAAGCCAAAGGGCGATTGGATTATTCATCGAAATATTTAATTCAATTTAAGGTAAATGACAGATTAGGAAATTACTATTAAAATGTCTTTAGTATTAATTACATAACATATTTAAATAGATAGAGAGTTGTAAAAGATAGTTTATGTTCAGTTTAGATTATACATTTTGCTAAATTTTTTTAAAATATATGTATCTATACATGTATGTTGTCATGAACTTATATATATATATATATATATATATATATATATATATATATATATATAATGGGAGATAATAAAATTTAAGATATTTAATGGAAAAAAAAGATTAATATCGGATAAAGAGCGTTTACATTGATAGATAATGTGCATATAAGAATCAAGCTGCAGGGTGACTGTCAGTTTTACTTGTAATTTCAATGAAAAGTGAAACTGACAGTCACTATGTTGTGTTGTTTCTTATGTTCACACTGTCTCTATCTATCTATATGTGTTTGGGGTGCAGAAAAGGTATAAGCCCGGCCATATTAGCTTCTCCAATAATATGATCTTTAGTTATTTGGTCAGTATTACGACGTAAATTGAACCGAGAATTTTTCAGCACCCTTAGAATTAAGCACACTTAAAATATATAAATGGAATAATACAATAATACATACAGTGTGCATGTATGTGTGCGTATGCATGAAGTGTATTTGTAACAAAAGCGAACGTAAAACATATATTGTGTCAGTTCCAAAACGTGGAAATATAAGATTTCAAAGGAGTTAGCATCCAGTTTTTTTGCTCTAATTGACAATGGGCTGAACTCGATATCAATTAGTCTTTTAATTCAAAACGTTTCTAATTTGTGGAGATATATGTTGACGTCTGTATAAGTCCAACTTTACTTAATTTTACGACATCGCAATAAATATAAAACTAAAGAAACATATGTTTACATGTTAAATTCAACAACCTTCAACAGCATTTGAATTTATCAGTGAATTTAAGAGCTAGGAAGTACAAGACAATCAAATTTATATCAGTTCCATTATATACTATTCTCATAACGCTCATACATCTGGAAAGCGTATTGTCAGCAGTTGGGTTTTACTTTGTGAAACTAACGTCAAATATTTCTAAAATATAAGTGAAGACACTTCGCTTACTTCAGCTTGTTTTGATAGTTTTTTAAAATTTTCTAATATTATACAGCGTGGGCTAAAATCACCCTCACGGTTGTGTCACTAATTGTTTCACGTCTTCACGAATCAGAATCAGAGATAACATCGTTGAAATATTATTACAGCGAGATTGAGCACCTCCGGCAAACGTACATTATGCTTTGTTAGTAAGGGACAACCTTAACCAAAACATACCACTGCACTGGTTCGGGCAAATTTATCTGACAAAACAACATAGGATTTCTTTTTTGAAAGAACAAGGTTTATGAGAGAAATCCCGACAACGTGGACGAATTAAAAGAGTACATCTCAGAAGTATTTATTGAAATTGATGAAGATCGGGATTTGTGCCTTTGTTGTGATTCATAGTTTTCTGGCGAGGTTCGAGGAATTTTGCAATGTTGAAGGAGGACATTTTGAGCACTTAAGAGATTAAAACTGTGATAAAAATGTAATGAAAGTGATAAAAAATTTGCATAAAAATTTTGAACAAATATGATTGTAACAAATAAATATAAATGTAATGAGATTTTTAAAAATATAAAGTGTGTACCTCCTAAATGTAACCCACCCCGTATAAACTTTGCTAAATTTTTCTTCAATAAAATATCTATCTTTTCGTTAATCAAATATTTAGAAAAACATATTTTCATCAAATATTTATTATACTATATTAGAAAAATACTAATTTTAAATGGATTAATTTACTCGAAATTAACATCCATAAATGAGGGTATCCCATCCGCAAGTTATACCAAGTGAACTTTTTAAAAGCCTATATAGAATTATTTTATTAATTCTAGCGGAAAAGTATAGAACGAAATGATTTATTTTCAGCTATTATTTCTGACCAAATTCATTACAATTCCGTTGCCAAAAATATAAGTTGCCGTCCAAAGTTGTATATCCCAATGGAAAACATTTCATTCTATATAGTATGTTTAAATCATTATCAACTATTTTTCTTATCAACTATCTTATTCTATTTTGTACCGAGTCCCATCAAGATATGGGCGGTCAGGACACTCCATAAATTCCTATCTTTGTAGCTCTGAGCAAAGTGTCTATTTTTACTATCTCTTCCACTCCCTGTTTTCTCATCCATTCACACAATCTCGTCAGATAGGTTTAGTTGCTATTTCCCTCTGTCAATCTTAAATTTAATATATCCTGTGAGTGTTACATTCTCCAAGCTCTCTTTCATTATTAAGTTTTCCTAAAACTTCATATCGCTTTTTCTGATTGTAAATATAAGTTC